GCCTGGAAAAGGCTAGTGGAGGTAGGGCTATTTTAAAGATTGTTCTTTGAAAGTATGTTTGAAACTGTACATTTCAAGTTAATTAGGAAAAAGAATGAAGTAATCAATAAAAGTGGATTACAGAAGCAGTTAACAAATCAACTTCTAGCATCTTGGTAGTAAAACTGATTAAGTTTCAATTCTTTCGTTTTTGCATAATATAAATTTTATTGGTAGCATTTACTAGATTTTCAACCAAAATTTTTAAGATTTCATTTGTAACGTTATGGGAATTTAGGTAAGCTAGTCTTTTTTATTTGTCAGGGATTGATTTGTGTGAATTTGTTTAGAGAGGTATCGAATACTTTTGAGTCATGGCGAATCTCCTAGAAAATGAAGTTACACTTGTGAATTTAATTTAACACTTGTTTGTGTAATGGTGGTAGTACTGAATGCCTGCGAAATTATCTTATACTTTAAACATATCCTGCAGTAATGTATACCGAGAATTTTTGACTCGTTCAATCATAAGGAGCTTTGTTGTTGAAGACTTTTTGACGTAAAATTTCTGTAAATAATGGTTTTAGCTTTTTTTTTTCTAATCATAGGTTTTAAGGACTGGGTTTATCTGCAGTGATGGGAGTAAACGGCGAATCCTCTTCGTTATTGGAAGCGTTATACAACAACCCTTCCGAAAACGGCCGGGTGTTGTCGATACAAAGCCATGTTGTTCATGGGTATGCCGGTAATAAGTGTAGCGTCTTCCCGCTTCAGGTACAATGAGCAATGCATTCTTCTGTTAAATATGATCATCAGATGGAGTAAAGATACTGTTGGTTTTTTTTAAATTGAATCTACAGTTCTAAGTACCAATTCAAAAATTTAGTTTTATAATATCACTAATTACTACCACTTTTTTTTAGCTTCATGGCTATGAAGTTGATCCTTTGAACTCTGTTCAACTTTCGAATCACACAGGTGAGTGAAATGACAACTATCAGTAGGGAGCTGCAGTTTTTTTGATTCCATCCAGGTCATTTTTGCTAATTTGACTAGTTTCAAGGAAAAATTATTTGATTGTAGGTTATAAATATGTCAAGGGAGAGAGGTTGAGCGATACGCATCTCACCGATCTGTATGAAGGTCTAAAACTAAACGATATTAATAACTACTCTTATATTCTCACAGGTAAGGAATTAAAGTTGCCAAAGCCTTCGTAAAATTTCATAATCTATCATCAACAACTTTTTTCACCATATTGTTTCTAGGATATTGTGGTACTACGTCTTTCCTTGAAAAAGTGGCTGACATTGTTCAAGACATTAAAAAAAAGAACCCAAATGTCGTATATGGTTGGATATTTTTCCAATTTCTTTATCTACTTCGGTTTTAAGAAACATTCTGTTCCATTATTTCGAATTAGAAATAGTCGAAGATGGAATTTTTTTATGCTGATGTTTTAAGTGAGTTGATGCATATGACTTCTTTGAGATCTGTGCTTGATAGATCTCGAAAGCCCATTTTTAGCCTGATTTAGTAGCTTAATTTCAGTTTGCGACCCTGTTCTTGGCGATAATGGGGAATATGTAAGTTTGCACAACGTTTTTCATTGAAACCATTGCAGAAGCATAATTTTTAGCTACAAGAACCGCTGCATTTGGTTTTATCGTACAAATGAACTCTTTTTTACCAAATAAGAAGGTATAGCAAGTATCTTGGAATGAAGATTAGTGAACAACTGGCATTTTTTGTTCTGCACACTCTACTTTTATTCTTACGAAGCTTATTTTGCGAATTTTTCTACTAGGTTGGTCTAGGATTTTTCTCGCTGCCCATACATTAAACTTGCATCAGGTGTCAACTTTTCTGTAATACTACTGTTTAGTTTTTGTCTCTTTTTTGGGGAAAGCGCGTTTTTGTTTTTGTAAAAGGAGTAATACTTTAACTGGGAGAACTGATTAAGAATAGTTTGACTTTTCCTCTTTCAGCGGTGTTTTGTGTCGGAGTAATTTTTTTCTGCTCGAGTAACTTTGACACGCTGTACGAAAAGTTTGGAGGATGAGGAAGGTTGTAGGACAGATCAACTCTTACTCAGTATGTTTTCAAACACTTGAAGTGTGATCGCTGACGGAAGTTACTGGCGCTTCCATGCTAGGAAGGGATTTCAATTTTTCAACAAAGACCTTCCCTGCATTTTCCTCTGCGTTGTCCAATAGAAAACTGGTAAAGAAAACTGGATAGAGATTTGGTGTCTTGATTGCGCCAGTCATATTTTTTGGTAAATTTATGCATTTGTCGACGATTAGTGCCTTATTTTCTCGAAATAATTCGCAGTACTTTTTACACAAACGTTTCTACAAACAGCAAAATCTGCCGCATTCGTTCGTTCTTGTTCTGTTCGTAGAACACTAAAGACTAGTTAGCTACAGGTGGGTAGCCCGGTATGTATATGTCGTCGCCTTTTTAGTGCATCTGCTTGTCAGCCTATCATCTTGCCTTCGCCTGTTTGCGTTAACAATGTACTCTTACTTAGTTCGTCTAATTTAGCGATAGGAATATAATTTGGTGATGTATGCCCCAGTAAAAAACCCTCATTTCACCTAAGTTTTGCTAATTGCTACGATGCACTCTCCCTGCGAAGCATCGAAGAACAAGTCGCCTGGACCTCGATTTATCCTTCAGCAAAAAGTTTCCAAGAGAGCGTTGAAACAGAGACCGTTTCACCTTCAACGAAGGCAGTGGATGTTTTTCGTTGACTAGGTTTATTCACTGCAAGCTCTCGCTGTTCACAGACCTTCATCTAAGAAGATGCGAAACTTGCAAATTCTGCGTAGTCGCCAGATTTATTTGACAAATATGCACGCTTAAACAAGTTTTTGTAGCGGCATATTCTGGTAAAACGTGGCTTTATGTCTGTAAATGTATAAACAAATAAGAAAATACTAAAGAAAATGTCCCAAAACATTCAGGTCAGAAAAAAATTGAAGCTGAAATCTAGTTCTCTTAACTTATTTTGTCTGTAAGTTTATTTTCAGACCTACTTTGCACTGCTATTACAGTCTTTTAGAATTACTGTGAATTTTTGCAGTATACGCCTAAAGAAATGACAGCTGTGTACAGAGATCAAATTCTTAAACTGGCAGACGTTGTCACCCCGAATACATTTGAACTTTCGTAAGTTCAGTTTATCTGGCGACTTCCAAAAATTTGAATTGCTTCTAAAAATGAAACTGAAAAGTTTTAGGGAACTTACTGGGCTGAAGATCGCAAATGAAGAAGATTTTATATCTGCCGTTGAAAAAATCCATTCTTTGGGCGTAAAATCAGTTGTTGTAACAAGCGGTTTGGAGACAGAGACAACCAAGTTCTGTTACTGTTCAATGAAGGATGGTGAGTTTTGGTTGTATATGAAGAACGATCGAAAGATCATGTAACTTTATCCTCTAAATTTTCTCTACTGTATAACGTTTTTGTATTTAGATAATGGCACTTATTTGCGGTATAGGTTTCACATACCTATAGTGCCAGGTAATTATGTTGGTACTGGTGATGTCTTCACAAGCTTGTTGGTAGTTTGGCTTGACAAAGTTGGGGGCGATCTGAGGCTAGCTGTTGAAAAAGTTATTAGCAGCATTCAGGGAGTATTAAGGCGTACCAATGAATCATCTATTAGCAAGTTTTTACTGTTTATTTTATGGTTTTGGTTTTATGAAAATTAAGAAATTTTTTTAACTTGGATGTTTCAATATTAGACCCTACCAGTAAAAAGTAATTATCCTTTTCTTCGTTTCTTAGTTGGAACTTAATTTGTTTTTAATTTCAGCCTCAAAACGTAGCGTGGCCGACCTTGAACTACGCCTTGTGCATTGTAGAGTTGAACTTCTTTGCCCAACAATTCCAATTCTTTCAGAACGTTTGTAACGGCAAGCAAATCTTAGGATATTAAAACTTCGCTAGAGTAGTGTTTTTGTTTTGGATTTATGTTTCCAAACTAATTTTACAGATAAGTAATTGTAAACCCTAATTGAAATCTGAAGTTTGTCGATTAAATGAAACATTACTGGTTTCATTTAGCTTAATTTGTTTAATTGTTTTCAATTTCCTCTCTGGTACTTGTAGATAAATGTATTGTTAAGATCGTACCTTATTAAGTCTTTAATACATTTTTTACACTTCTTTTTATTTCTGTGATACCCAGGCAGTAAGCAATAGCTTTTACTAGTATTCAAATAGAGCTGTTTTTTCAGAAACTTCTATTACGCTTTACCATTTATTTATTGTTGATTTTGTTATTTTCATATCGGTAGAAGGTTGTTGTTTCTGCATATTGTTTGACTAAATTTCTTGGTCGAACTCTTCTGTTGCACTTCATCTTTTAAGTGGTTGTGGGTTTGGACGTATGACGGTGCTGAAGAGCAGTAATTTCTAAGTATTGTTTTGATCTAGTTGTTAAGAAATCTTCAAGCTTTAAAACTGAGTAACTTTATTTATTTCATCGTCTTTTTGTCTAATAATAATAATTTAATTTGAATCCAATTTATATGGAAGTTTGCTTTAATGCTTATTTCTATTTCTTAGTTGAGTAGTGCTTGTGAATGCAGCTATCAATTTATTTATGCCGTGACCAGTTTGTTTTCGCTGTAGTGGAACTGCAATTTTGTGTGACTAGTCATCCAGGAAAAATTCTGTTTTAGCAAAGAAAGTTATGTTCTGAATTAGTTCAGATTGCATGCTCAAAAAATTGCTGACTACTTTCAAGAAACGCGAGATGCGTGATCTGTCGTTGCTAGTAAGCTGTCATCTAAATGTACGTTTAGCATTCTGCACCGGTAAAAAATAAAATCTAGCAGAATTTTTTAACCCCGAATATATGTGAAATTAATGTCACTTTTGAATTTTTTTTTCAGCTTAGAATGTGAGTAATTTGGTTTTTATTTTAGCTAAAGATACATAGCTGCTTGTGGCAGGTTTTAAAAAACTCATTTTTTTTAACAGTGTATTTTTAATTTCTTTTTTCTTTTGGAGCTTTCACTGATGAAATTAAGTAAAATTTGGTGAATTCAGAGGAGATTCAGTGTTGAAAGACGTGACAATATTTTCTAAAATGGTGCTTTTCATAAAGACAAAACGATTTGTCAGTGTGATGAAAAACAGTCGATTTTGGCTTCTGAAGTGGAATAGCCGGCAAGCCCAAAATTGCTTAGTCATTGTTAGGCATCGCCTCAATAAAGCCAACAGAGGAAGATAGCACAGTACCCACTGAAACGTTTTTTTCAGATCGCAGTTAGTGATCAGTCGTCAAAATAAAGCCATAAATCGATTTTCCAAAAGCAGTTTAAATGATTTTAACTGAGAGAAGGGAACGATCTGCTGTTAAACACAGATAGTGTATTTGGAGTTTTATTAATTGTATCGATCATCCACTCCTGTGATAGAAAAATCTGGTAGAATAAAAAGTTTTATATTCACGGTTTTCCAAAGATTTTTTTTTTTTTT